TATCTTTTGCCGACAATTCGCCCAAAATCCATTATCATCCGGAGCCGGGGCGACCACATGATTTTAATAATTTATTGGTACACATGTTTTATGGTTTGATCTTTGCTACTATCAGTCCACCTCAATCTCTCTCCCCCTCCTCCTTCTGTGCTCAACTATTGTACTTGAATTTTAAAATATAATTCCGAAATATGGGCGTACGCTCTTGCGTTTCGGGAAAAAAAACACCATCGATCGCCACTATGATACTTCAACTAATTTACATAAAACAAATGGCGTCATTTGATGATTAAGCGGAACGATATTTGGAGATGGGATTTCCTATTTAATGAGCATGCTTGATTGCAATGACAATGTTTGGTCGTGTGCGTTTGAGCTTGAGAGAATGTGGGTTTTTTTGTCCCCTTTTCAGTAATTTTGGACGGCCAGCCAGTTTTGACCGATATCATATGGAAATTCCACCATTTGTTTTCCATAAATGAGCTTTATAAATTGAAAACGTTCAATTATTCATTCTATTTTGGTTAAACAGACATTTTGTTGTGTTGGTTATTGCATGCTAAACAAAGGCGCCGGTGTGTGTGCAACATTCGAATGCAGTGACATGTTTGTGACCCCAAAAATACATTGAACAATTTCATATTTTCGTGAATGTACACGATACATGCTGAACGCTCATCCAGCGATTAGATTGAACTATAATTAATGGAAATATTTGGTTGCATACAATTAAAATACATTTCATTGCTGTTGATTTTCACCACTGTCCACACGTCATATTTGGATAAAGCCACGCCACATGCACATACAAACATCCAAATTTCAATTCGTCGCTAGAACTATTCTAAGCGTAATACAAAATTCACTTACAGTCGCTTACATTGATGCTTTTTTTTGCAGCACTCTCTTGCACAAACGCGTCTATGTTTCAATATTATCCAGTGCCATATTCTAAATGGAATGCGCGAACGCCAACGAAATATTTCAATGGCTGCATTTGAAATTGATCAGATTAACATTTAATTCGATTCCATTCAGCCGGTGCACAACATGTGAGCGCGCCCTCGTTCAAAACGAACGCCATTTTCCATGAATTATTCATGGCTGGCGAAATGCGGAATTATTTCATATGCCAAAGTTGAAAATGAACTGAGTCAAACACAAATCCTTACTTTTGCTCTCCTCTTTGGTTTTATTTGTGTTTGTTTACCGTTGAACCCGTCAGATACACGCTATACACGCAACCATAGAGAGAGGGAGAGAGATTTTTTTCTCTGTTTCACTTGCTCACTCAACAAATAGAGTTGTACAATTTTTTCGTATGAATTATTTCTATTCGTATAAACAATGGATCAAATGGTGAAACAAAGCAACCGAAATTAAAACACTTGTTGTTCGTGCCTTGGCATAAACATGAAAATATTCATATTTTACTGAAATAGGATTTTTGTTTACATTGAAACATGACTAAACACAAAATGCGCTCGCGCCCGCCAAAAACCAACCTCAGTTATGAGAATTTTGAATTGAAATTGCAAGCACACACACAGTTCAATCTAATACACACAGTTTTTTTCGGTAAATGAAATGTTCGTGTGCTTTTTTACCAACATTTTCCATCATTTATGAAAATGTTGCACGCCCCAAAACTGAAACGCTACGTTGACAAATTCATTCAACAACACAGTAATCCCAATTTCACTATGCGCATTTTTTGTTGCAGAATGTATTTCTACAAACGAAATACAAACCCTATTTATTAACCGCGTGAATTTATTTCGGTTCGAGGTAGATTGGTGAATTTATTCTGGAATTTAGTCAACTGTGTGTTTCATTTTAGTTTGTCATTCGGTAGCCTGTTTCTATTTTTGACATGTTACCTGTTTTGCAGGGACGATGAAAAATGTCATCTTCTGTTTTTTAATTTTTTGGAAGCGTGCCACTTTCAGTCATCCAAAAGCAAAAAAAAGTGGCTTGTCTATATTTACTGACTCCATTCATTCAAAGTATTTTTTTTCGTTAGCTTTCTCCACTTCCTCTTTCCTCCCATATATCCCTTTGAATTTTACTCTGTTTGATCACTTTTTATTGGTATGCGAAACAATTTCTTTGAATCTTGCGTTGAATTCCAAGAGCTTTTGGCATTTTTTTCTAATTGCATTTTATTCTAGGAATATGTTCAACAAGGAAACGGAATATGAGAATAATAAGTGGCTCAAAATTATGATATTATCCGTTTTTCAAGCAGGTATATACAATACAACCAAAGTAAAATACTTTCATTTTCAACTTTTGGGGGAAATCATTTACAAGGCGATTTGCTTCGAGCGAACTTCTTAACGAATTTACCATTGAACTTGAGCAGATTTTTTTTTACCCATAAAAAGAACAATGAACCGAAAGATGCGTTTGATGAGTTTTGGTTTAAAATTGTGCCATAAATATTTTGATGGTTATTGAGCTTCTGACGTGTATTTCCGCCATTTTTGTTCCGATCAATAGACAACATGGTCAGGGCCGTAGCCACGGGGGCGCGAAAGGGCAATAAGCGCCCTCTGATGATTTACGGGCGCCTTTCCAAAAAATAATTTCAGAAATTGATCTCGAGGTTTATCAAAGTTTTGACATTGAGAGAGAAATATTAATCGAAAAAATCACATAAGTGCCAATCGAATCGTTGTATTACTAATATTTCAATTGAAACTGACTGGAGCCAACCGTCAGTTTACACGGAGAAATAATCTAAAAAAAACGTTGGCAGTTATTTTATAAGATATAATATTTGGACGTAAAAAGTTTAAATTGATTGAAATATTGTCGCGCCATTAGCAATGTGAATTTGTTCATGAATCGTTTGTTTCAAGTTTTGATAAATCAGAGAAAAAGAAACACCAGAAAACTCGGAAAAAAATTTCTATTCTCTATGCGCAATAAATAATTGGTTTTAAATAGGATATGAATATCTTCAAATTATATTAAATTGGAGTTATTGATTTTGATTTTAAAAATTCCAATTATATAGGCTAGAAGATAACGCTACGATAAAAACCTATAAAATTAGCTTTTTTAGTCTTCATTACTTCTGCGCTCATGATTAATTTTTGAGCGCCCCGGACATTTCGAGCTGGCTACGGCCTTGAACATGATTTCAAATCAAAAGAATAGAATTTCAATGGACACTGGCTAAACGAAAAAGAAATTTGATGGGTATCGTCATATCACAATTTGTTTATGCATTCTTATGTGTTGTTCTTTGTTGCCATTGGCTAAATATAATAAGCAAAATGATCAGAAACACAGTAAAGGTCAAAAGGACGTTGACGTACTTTGCTCAGATGCTGCTGCTGCTGCTGCTGCTGGCAACAACACACGAAGGAAAACATGTTTTTTTTTGCAAACAACGGGGACCAAAATGAAACACACACGTGGTCATTGACAAAGAAAAACGACAGAGGCAAAAAAATCGATTGAAATAAACAAATGACCCAACTCCAAGTGGCAACATTGCGGTTTCGATTGAAGTGGACGGAAATGTGGTTTGGGATAAAAAGAGATGCAAAATTCGGGGGGTTTCAACGAAATGAGTATGTTTAAGTCAATACGATGTGCGATTACGTGTCTGTATTCCGAATTTTCATTCGTTGTCATTTTCAAAGGAAGGATCTAGTTCAAATATCGATTTGTGGAAGAAAAGCTGCTTGAAATGGTGCATCAATTCGGATTTTGGATTATAATTCGGACGATTTAAGGGAAAATTCTATATCGAGACGAATGTGATACTAAATTGAAAGCCAAATGCCAAAAATACATGTTGCCATTTTCAATTACTCGATGAAGAGTATTGTGCCAAATAATTACGGCGATTAAGATGGAATTTGTGGACAGTGAATGTGTTCCATAATCAGCTGTGGACACTGAACGCTTCGTATATAGATTGCAATGGAAATTTCCCATTGATAAGAAGCACGTTCTTATTGTCCAAAATTAGATTAAGACTAGTGCTGAATTGATGTGAAATTCAGCATATTTCGAAGAAAATCATTTTCCTTGCGTTTGTTGATCGAAATTCTCATGGGGGATCGATAGAATTGAAGGGTTGTCTATGGCATTGATGGTTTCGCACTTGGTGTGCATTATTTCGTGTAATTCAATTAAATTCAAAACCCTTAATCAATCAATCACATGCAAAAGTCTCGATTTACACTGAAGTGGTTATTTATGGAACACACGCAAGCAATAACCGCTGCATTTAAATCGAATTGTCTGTGCGGGTGGGCTGGAGCAGGTAAAATGAAACCTCACCATCACATAATCAAACTATCAATATATGGGATGTAGAATCGATTGAAATGCCATGCGTGGCGGCGGCGACGTTGGAATAATGATGGTGCTGGACACTTGGGCAAACTTTTGCGGTTGCAAAACACTTGATCAAATTAATCGAAATAATTGCAGAAATGTTTTGCTAGACACTTGATGACGCACATTCAACTGCAGTAGCCTGAATGGCATGTGTGTGCGAATTTATTTCAATGGTAAAAGAAAACAATCGAAAATACCAACGGATGGTGTGTTAGTCAAGGGCCAAGATGAGAGTTAGAGGATGTGACAGCGGGGTGGGTGCTGTATTTGTTTAATCGAGACGAAACGTGAGCACATTAAATTTTATTGGTGACAATATGACAAACAAGCAACGCTACCTGATTGAAATACATATACGAGGCGAATTATTGCATGGGTGTGTGTGTGTGTGCCTGTGCGTTCACATCATAGACTGAAATTGAAAATATATTCAAGTGACAATGGCACGCAGCATCTAAAACACGCAGCAAGTAAAAACGACTGAGAGTGAAGGGCGAGAGCGAGAAAACCAAATTCAATTTTCTGATCACGACCCAGTAATTCATTTGGCCAACTAAATCGTGTTAATGGTCGTCGTTTTTTTGCTTTTATTCTATTCTTGTCGATGGTTAGTTGCTAAAGGTTATTTATATACTTACCAGTGGTATTGCGGATATTAACGGGAAAACGGAAGCAAATTGCAACCGATTGCTGCTATTTAACGTTCGTTAAATTGTCTCCACCTGCAAAAACAAATGAGGGAAAATGGCCGTTAGAGTATTATTTTAAAACGATACTGTAATAAAATAGTTGCCTAAAACCAATTTCATTGAATGAAAATCCATTAAAATATTGGTGCTTGGGATGGGCTTTAAACGGTTCGTAGACCTATGGACATTTTGTGCACGGAAGCCGATGAGGTTTTGATGGTCACCAATTTATCACATTATCATAATTTGATAATGATGCTGGTGTCGAATTTTGCAATGGGCACACAAATACACTTGAGCACGCACCAGCTGCTCGACCAAAACCCCACACACCAATTGATTCATTTATTAACCCTCGTACACGAACATGGGTCTGGCCAGGCATTTTTCGATTTTGAGCGTTAATTTAACATACTTCTAATTTAGATATCGAAAAATGCTTTCGAGTACCCTCCTAAAATTTTATTTGCTTTCGATCTATGCATTCAAAAATTGAAAAAAGTCCTTAAAACAGGACGAAAAAAAAGGATGTAAAATTTACACCTTCCTACACGCACATAGTGCCTGGCGAGACCCCTATATATTTTGTATGGAAACATATGGAATATAGTGTGTTTTGATGATTCTATGTGGTTTTTCACCTCTCTTACATTACCTCGTTTATTTTCCTCAACACAGATATCATTTATCACTAATCAATTCCGCGGAATACGTGAAAAACGCGAAAAATCGCGAAAATTCCCCTTCTCATTATACACGGTACTGATAAGAGATACGCGATATCTGCCCTCAGAAAATTTGTAGGGGACCTTGAATATTACAGATTTACCGAAGATACCAAGCCGTTATCTTTTATCAGTTTCGCGAAAAAACGCGATTCTTTCTTATCACTTTTCGCGGAACTGATAAGAGATAAGAAGATATTGTCTTTGAAAAAATTGTAGTGCTTGACCTGTTCGACAACTTTGCTGAAGATATATATATACTATCTCTTATCAGTTCCATTAAAAATGAGATGGCATGCATCACTTATAGTATTCCCATACAAATGCATGTAAATGTATAGGGGTCTGGCCAGGCACCATGTGTGTGGAGTAAGGTTTTAAAATATGTGCGTGTACGAGGGTTAAACATGGTCAGAGGGCGATGGCAACTGATGAAGCCGTTCAATAAGTAATCAAAAACAATTTATTTGTGTTTGTCTTGGAAATCAAAAGTGGAGAGGGTGAGAGAGGTATAGAGGATGACCGAAGATTCATTCGATTTACATTTTTGGTGTCGCTCCAATAGCTATGGTCAATATTTCGGTTTTGTCGCATTACGCCAAAACGCTTGGTCAGCCCAAGAGTCTCTTTTCTCTCCCTTTTTGATTTGTTAAAATAGATTCGAAGAGAAATGTTCGCAGTACTCCCTTTTTGTTGCTGAAAGTTGTTCGGAAATCAGTGTTCCATTCATAAATGTGGGAATATCCACTACAGCCACACGTAGAGCGGAAAACGGATAAATGCGTTGCAAGATGTTCATCGCAATTTTTCGCTTTAAAGCGAGCATTTGATTAAAAATCATTCAATCTGTGACAACTTTAATAGCGTATTTATGTTTACTTCAAGTGGAATCGTGTTTAGTTTTCCGTTGAGATGTGATGTTGACGCTCACGCTGTGTAGTGTGTAAACTTTTATAGTGAGGAAGACATTAAAAAGTTATTACGTTTAAGTTTGTATCGTGGATCTATAAGGATGGTAAAATGTGATGCATCATCATGAAAATCATCTAGACATGTTGGTTAATAGTGCAGCAGGAAACACCTTTTGGCTTGGGCTGCTGTTTACTTAATTCGGAAAATCGAGAATCGAAAGGTCGACGGTTTGCGTTGTGTATGTGTGTTTATTCCCAGGGGCTACTCGCACTTTCATAAATGGCAACTTATAACCAATAAATCTGATTTCATACAAATATCGCACCAAAATTGTCTAAACACACAAATGTCTACGATTTTAAACACTTTTTCACCACTTTTGGCCATTTTCTTATGCCTGTTTTTTTTTCAAAAATGCTGGAAGTGGGTTTTGGCAGGCTTGTTTATGCGCTAAATCCATCAAGCTGAATAAATTCATGCGATAGATTTATGCGATAAATGTGATGCGCTCGCTTTATGGTGAACGAGATCTGTTGCTCTTCACTACCGCTTAGCGATGCGTTCACTGCAAAGCATGAACGTTCATGCGTGAACAAGTGAAGAGCAACAAACTTCGTTCACCGCAAAGCGAGCGCATCACATTTATCGCATAAATCTATCGCATGAATTTATTCAGCGTGATGGATTTAGCGCATAACAAAGGCTGGGTTTTGGTGTATCCTCAGGACCGTTTAGAACTGCTCCCGGTTCTGGAAATGGATCCTCAGGATTGACCAGGGCATTTTCAAAACCGATCTGATACATCCTGGAGATCCACCAAAGCCCACTTCCAGAACCGGGAGCAGTTCTGAACGATCCTGAGGATCCACCATAACTCGCTTCCAGAATTTTTGAAGAAAAAAACATCCATGACAAAATGGCCAAAAGTGGTGAAAAATTGTTTAAAATCGTAGACATTTTGTGTGTTTAGACAATTTTGGTGCGATATTTGTATGAAATCATATTTATTGGTTATAAGTTGCCATTTATGTAAGTGCGAGTAGCCCCTAGGTTTATTTGGATGTTCGAGGGTGAGCGCGCCATTATCATAAACAAAATTACAACATTTTGTTTCTAATATGAATTTATTATCCACGTAGATATTTACGACGTGAAGCGTGGGTGCGAGCGACAATGTGTAAAAGGTATTTGTGCATGTGTTGGTATGTGTGTCATCTAAATGGATTAACGTTTCATGTGATACACACGCAGCATCAAGTGCGGCATACAGAAAAAGAGAGGGAGAGGCAGCGAGTAGAGTCAACCTAAAACAGCATGTTATGCGCTTGCAAGCAGCGAGCAAGATCATCTGGATTATGTGCATTATGAAATTGTGTTTAAAAGCAATGACTTCCGTTAATTTCCATTTATTTCGAGTGCACAACACCAAAAATGAGCGGCAAACTTGATGATACTGTGACTATTCAGTAGAGAGCAGGGAAAAAGGAGCAAGAGAGGGGCATGTCGAGCTTGAAATCGCTCTCTCTCTCCGCATTAATCTAGGATGGCGTTTAGATACTTTGACAAATGCATAAGATTTAACATTTTTTAACATTTGAATTATGTTTGCGCAGATATGAACCCCATTTTTCCGTCGACTTCATAGCAACACCTACATATGTGACGGCGTTCAAAATGTTGATGATCAAATCCAAGGATTTTCATGTGTGATACGACATTGTATCATATTGTGAAGCAGAGAAGTTTGATAATTTCGCTTCATCGTATCGCTTAAAATGACTTATACATATATGGCGAAACAGCTTATTACGTGGATATGGATATGATTAAAATAACACGGCAAAGTCACGTTGCAACTGAAAATACATTTTCGGCAAACGGAGTGAACGCATGAAGGTGTCAGGGAAAATGGAAAAATGTGTGTGTCTTTTTCGGAAGACGGATAACACACTATCAACAATAGTGATAGCTGTTATCAGGTACGAGGATCCTTGTCGCAATCTGAAGGCAGGATAAGAGTAGAGAGCACACATGCTTGCGTTTTTATAACAAATTCATTTCGACTGCAAGCACACACGTCATTAGTTGAAACTTAGCCGCCTCTCGACAAGTGAAACATACCCATCATCATTGTCTTATTCATTTTCGCAAATTAAAATAACAACAACTTGTGTGTAAAAACACTCTCTCACACACTTCATGTAAAAGTTCCATTTTTTATGATGAACAATGCGTGTGCTCCTCTTTTCGGTTCACATTTCCGAGAGCCTGCGTTGTCATGCAAACAGTGTCAAAATGGGGAAAGTTTATTCCGGCGCTCAGGTAAAATTACTAGATTTCGAGTGGTATGTGAGCTTGCTCGCGTGTGCCATCAGCATCCCACATTCATGGAAAACAAACCGGACACTGATTTTCATACATACATACTGGATGTGGAGATATAAAAAAATGGGTTTGCTTCCATATGATATCGGATAAGGGACCTCATTTACCTGCTTTTTATAGTTTTATGGTGCGTATTTGCTGTTATTTTTTGCCCAAGCATTCAGCCTTAATTTGACATTTATGTGTGGGTATATAAATTGTGATATTTCTACATTTCGAAGTACCCATTAGCACACGAATGGCTCAAGTTCGTAAATGTATTGCTTTTGAGTATTTAATTCCACATTTAGTTTATCCAAGTGAGTTTTTCTTCTTCCTGTTCGTCATGTTATTGCATTTCAACCAGATTTCACATGTTTCACTTTAACGAATCCCTTTCATGTTCGGCTGCACAACTCTCGAAATAAAATTTGTCGACAAAACATTTTTGTTCGTCTTTGAGTAAAAAAAAAGGATTACGTTAAAACTATTTCCGACATCCATTTCTGACCGAAAAGATTTAAACAATACACGAAGAGGGAAAAAAGCGGATTCAGAATAACATTACTGGAAATACAGAGATCAAAACGGATAAGCAATGAAATATCCTGTATCCTATTTTGACTACTACTTCTGGCCATACATGCACAAACATTCGATTTTGCAATTAAATCAAGAACATGCAGCGCAGAGCGGATGTGCTTGAAATGAAAAAAGTGTGTCGCTTGTGGACTTGGTTGTTGTTCTCTACTTAAAGCTCTGTTTTCTAAACTTTATTTTTGCTATTTAAACGCGATTTGTCAATCCTCCAGCGATTTATCCCCTTGAACATTGTGCACACATTATAGCTATCGCTGTTCGATTTATGAAGTTTATTCTTCCTGCTTTCAGCCCCAAACAAAATAATCGATTTTATAGTTTGGCTACAAAAACAAAGCTACAGTTTTATTGCTGAACTGTGTGTGACAATATAGATGGAATAAAATTTCAAAAATACATTCAAATGCGACAATAGTATTCGCTTCGATTTTC